CCCCTGCCCCTATCCACCCACACCACCTCCTGCCCCACCCCTGCCCCTATCCAGCCACAACACCTCCTGCCTCACCCCTGCCCCTATCCACCCATACCACCACCTGCCCCATCCCTGCCCCATCTAGCCACACTGATCTTCATATGTATAAGCTCACTAGTATGACTGGTTTGGACCTGATTCAGGGCTTCTGCCCTTGCTCTCTTATTCGCTGCCAGCCAAGCTCTCTCCCAACATATCTGCAAGACTGGTTCCCCTCACTTCATTAAGAAACTGTAGGGCATTCTCTGACTACCATCTATAACAAAGCCGCTACAACCCTGTCCTAATAAAGCCCAGCCACTCACCGGCTGCATTTACCTGTCTAGAATTTATTACTATTTCATAACACTTTAAATATTCATATAAGTTTGTTTCTTTGTCCTCTCAGATGAAAAAAAATGGGTTCCGCTGAGGCCAGAGATGTAGCCTGTTTTGTGCATGGCTGCAAACACAATACCTAAGACAGATCCCCAGACACATTTTCACTGGGGGAGTAGGCAGTTAGCCCTTTCCAAGACATATTCCAATCCCATCTTGAGACCAGCATTCTTCCTTCGTGAATTCAATGATTCCTTAATGAGCACCTGTTCTGTATCTGGCTGTGGTTGAATGCTGTTAATAGAGAGATGCGTAAGGCAGTCCTTGTCCTCTGGGAGCATTCACCCCAGTGAAGAAGAATGGCTGATGGGAAAAAGTCAAGTCCAAAGCCCTTGTTCCCCACAGATTCTCCTTGTGACTTAGAACAAGTCACGTCCCTCCTCCATCAGGTTATTAGGAGAGTGATGAACAGTGCTAATCAATCCCCCAAACTCTCAAAGAGCACAGGCTGAATCTGAATGCCGGGGCCATTAGGGGAACATGATTCTCTCTCTGGTCTATTGAGGGGATCGATCCGTTGGCACCTGGAGGAAAGGCACTGGGTATTTTTGACAACTGGCAAATTCTAAAATAGTTAGGCATGCATCAGCATTTGTCAGCTTGCAGGGAAGGGGGAGTGGGGACTAGAGAGAGAAACTCTGTTCCTGATGAGTAGGTCAGCACAGGTAGCATGCACAAACAGCCACACAGCTTATCATCCTCTTAGCCTGTGAGCATCCATGGCTTCTCGTTCTTCAGGCTCTTTTGGGAAAAGGAAAGGGAAGGGACCCAACCTTTACTGGGCATCTGCTTCTCACAGCAATCTTAAGAGGTATTCAGTATTGTCCCTGGATGAACAAGGGAGTCCATCTAATAATGTCTGAAGGTTGTAACGGTTAATCTTCTCTGTCAACTTGATGACCGGATTTATAAATACTATGGAGACAAACCTCTGGATATACAGGGCATAAACAAAAAGGGGAGACCTGCTTTGAATAGGGTAGACTGAGAGAGCTGGAACTGACTTAAAAGGAGAACGCAAGCTGAGCATCACCACTTGTCTTGGTTTTCTAACTGTGGGCGCAATGTGACCAGCCATCTGGTGCTCCGATCATCATAACTCCCCACCGTGATGGAATGTACCTTCAAACCACCATGAGCCCATATAAACCCCTCTTTCAGTTGCGTTTGTCAGTTTTTTCCTTGCAGCAATGAGAAAAATAACTAACATGAGGAGTTAACTAACATGTACATGCTCCATGCTCCAGCCATCACACAAACCTGTCTTTATACTTCCCATTGCCTCTTCTCTGAGCAAATGCTGTAGATAGAGCCCAGGGGGCCACCCACAGTACTCCCCTGACTCCCAGGGCTCTCACCAAGAAGACTAAGAGAAGAGGTAGAGGGAAGCCATTAAGGAATGCAAAGGTCACAAGGCATAGAGGTCATGTCCAGGAGCCCCTGACGTGGAAATAGAAGTCAGTGGTATAGGAGCTTTACCAGCACTTTGGGAGTTTGGAGTTTGTCCACAGAGAGGTAAGGAAACCACTGAAGCTAAGATCTGGAGCTTGGGCCACCAGTTACAATGTTTTATAAGCACGGGGTCAGCACGTACAGTTGTGTGGTTTGTGCATTTCTCAAAGAATCCAACCAACGCAATGCTGAAATTCAGACTCAGTGTCCTGGAATGGAGTTATCTTTCGCCATTGGTGGGCTATCTTCTCTAACTCATGACCTCGAGCATCAGCGAGGCTGGCTGGTAGGACCCGGACCCATGCTCCTGAACCTCTGTTCTCCTAACTCCAGTCCACATTTCAACTTTTCCTGGGTGTCTCCAACAGTGTTTGTGCCTGTGGGTATTATCTACCGTTATTTACTATATTAGAAACTGAAATAGCCATTTTGACAGGTGAGATGAAATCTCAAAGTTGTTTTAATTTTCATTTCCCTGATTGCTAAGGATGGAAAACACATTTGAGATACTTCTTAGCTATTTTTTTCTTCTATTGAAAACTCTCTGTTCAGATCCACAGCCCATTTTTAATTGGGTCATTTATTTTCTTGACTGTTGTTTTTATATCGTGTTCTTTGTACATCGTAGATACTAATCCTCTGCCGGATATATAGCTGGCAAAGATTATCTCTCTCCCACTCTATGGGTTTCTTCTTCACTTGATTGATTCTTTCTTTGTTCACACATAACTTTTTTGTTTGTTTGTTTGTTTTATGAGATCCTATTGTTAATTGCTGGCTTTAATTCCCAGACTAATGGAGTTCTACTAAAAAAAAAAATCCCTTTCTATATCTTGTAAGGTGCTGCCTAATTTTTTTTCTAGCAGCTTTAACATTTCATGTTTCAAATCTCAGGTCTCTGATCCTCTTGGAGATGATATTTCTGCAGAGTGGTAGATACAGGAATAAATTCATTCCTCTGCATGTGGACTGGATGTTTTCCCAGTACCATTTGTTAAAGATGCTGTCTTTTCTCCAATATATGCATTTCGGGCTCTTTTTCAAATATCAGATGGATATTGTTATGAGTATTCATATTTGAGTCATCTATTCTGTTCTATTAGTCTACATGTCTGTTTTAATTCTGGTACCATATTATTCTTATTACTATAACTCTATAATATACTTTGTAATTTGCAAGAGTCATCCCTTCAGTATTGTTCTTTTTGCTCATAAATGTTTTGGCTTTTCAGGATCTTTTCTGAATCCATGTAAAATTTAGGATTGTTTTTTCTATTCGTGTGAAGACTGCTATAGGTTTTTGACTTGGGATTGCATAGAAACCGTACCCTGCCGGGCGGTGGTGGCGCACGCCTTTAATCCCAGCACTCGGGAGGCAGAGCCAGGCGGATCTCTGTGAGTTCGAGGCCAGCCTGGGCTAC